CAAACAAAAAAAATAATGGAGACTGTATAGGTCTATAGTATTTTGGACCTTAAAAGGGTTTAGGGTTTAGGGTTTAGGGTTTATAAGGGTTTTGGGTTTAGGGTTTAAGGCGGGGCCTGCTACGGTGGTGTTCGTGTCTTTGATCTCTTCTGCAGGAGTTTTATGACATCGGGGCATGCAATTATAAGTAGGTCAGGTCGGACCGTCTAATACACAAGTCGCTTGGGGGTTCTGGCTCGGAACTCACGAGCAAGTAAGCAAACAAGTCAAGTGACACAGGAGCCTTCAGACAGAAGTTCTGGCGATGTGTGGATCTCTTCTTGTTTGGTGTGCTTAGACATTGGCATGGTTGCACATGGATCGACTGAAGATTCGCACGCCGAATGAAGAAATGCATCAGGAACGACACAGTATGGGGATCAGGTCGGGAGAAACGGAGCAGGAAGCGCACGACAAGGATCATGCTGTGCGTGGTCGGAGCATTGTATCGACTCAGGTGTTCACTGCATGAAGTTCTCAGACTGGCCGCGTGGGATCATGGTGCTGGGTCAGTATGTAGATGACGAATGCAGGGGTCTTGGATGACTCCTGGTGAATGTCAGGCCCTCCTGGGTCTTGGATTCGTGCTGCTGTATGTGACGCCTTCCTTGGTCTTGGGTGAGTCCTGTTGTATGTCACGGCTCCCATGGTGTATGTCCCGCCCTCCTAGGCCTAGGTCTTGGAGAAATCCTGCCGTATGTCGCCGAATCTTAAAGAGCCCCGCAGCTTGTCTATCCATCTAAGGTTGAAACCATGGGCCCCTAGCATGGGCCCTTAGCCCTGGAATCCTTATACACCTACTATATACCTTATATGTACCCTTAAGGGTCCCTAGAAAGGCCTAAGGGTCCACATTAGGGGCCCATACTTCTAACCTTAGAATCCAGCAGCACTGCATCGAGAACTTCTATGGGGCCCCTGCTCTGGAGGAAACACCGGAACGGGTGGCGGCGCAGGAGCTGCCTTCTACAAGGCTGGTGGCTACCAGAACGAGGATTCGTATTGTTGTTATTATTACTACATTTCAAAAATATTACTACTATTGTTGTTATTCGTAATACTACTATGATTATTTGTAGTTCTAAACTAATTATGGAGTTGTTGAAGCCTCGATTTCTTGGGTGTTTTAGGGTTTGGGATTGAGGGTGCCAGGATCCCCCTCCTACAAGCAAGGGATCCACCGGCAACGGATGGTGAATAGCAGTCTTAGGGTTTAGGGTTTAGGGTTTAGGGTTTAGGGTTTAGGGTGTAGGGTTTAGGGTTTAGGGTTTAGGGTGCTAGTAAGCTATGGACGGAGACTGATGGCCAGGGTCATAGCAGCAACAGTAACAGTAATGCTGTTATTTTCAGTAAGGGCGAAGGGCTATCATACAAAAACAACAGTTGGTATGGCTTTATAAATTAGGCTTGGGACGCAAAGGTTTGGTGATTCTGGGACCCTGCACCCAAAAGCCTTGACCGTAAACACTTATATAAACCCTAGACTCAGACCTCCACCCCAGAGTGTTAACCTTAGGGATTTTGATTCCGGGCATAAGAACTTGGATATGCCTCCTCCAGCGCAACGCAGCGCCTGGCAGACGATAGGAGCCCAAGCAAATTCGGTTTTACAGTTTGGGAGGGCTTTAGTGTTTTAGTGAGTAGGGTCTACGAAGTATGGGAATCATAAAGATTGGGGGACGGGCGGGGGGCTTCTTGTAGTATAATTTACAAGTCTGGGGCATTTCTTTAGTTTTGGGCTACCTGCCTTTTCCTAACCGAACATAATCTTGGCTAGCCAAAAACAATGAGAGGACCTACAATGGAGGCTACAGGTAGGATCTAGTCGGAACGAACCTAATAGATTTCCTGAAACCCTAAACCCTGACCCCCTAAATCGATAATCTACAAGGATCAAGGTTTTGGGATTCCCCCTCTGAGTTTATAGAATTATTACTTGTGACTGTGACAAGTGAAACGGCTACCAGGGTTGAGGGTTTGGGGTAATGATCGCCACTGCCGCTGCAACTTCTGTGCAACCCAGAACGAACTCTCAGCAGAAGCATTGAGCCAAACGCTCTGATACGAAATTCCGAGCCCTGAACCCACGTCCGCAGATTGAAATTACCCTGAACCCCAAAGCCCTCAAATCTAAACTTTGGTTACAAATACCTCTACACCCAAACCCAGGAACCCCAATTCCAAACAGTACTATGGGCTGAATATTTAGGATATGGTTTGGGGTCAACTAGTTTACCTATGAACTTGACGGTAACAACGGGGCCTTCATTCTTGGACTAGAGTTCTGAGAATCACATTATACAGTCATCATACAGATCTTACTACTCATGCAGGGAAGTTGGTACTAACATATCCTGCCAAACTCCAGTACCTCTACAGCTCTGTAGTATAATGTAACAAAGCCCTGTTTTGATGCTCGAGGCCATGCTACTTGCGCGGATCGCTACGTTTAATGTAGGGGCCTTAATAATCAGAATAGGGTTCTGGGGCCCATTAGACCATGTTTATAAAATAGGGAACCCACACAATAATACATGTAATTACTAAGACCCCTATATTACCATGAGGACTCTTTCATGGGAGCTGAAAGCGACCAACTGCCGGCCGGTCCTGTCAGCAGACAGCGCCAAGATGATCCAAGCTCCGATCATGGCGGGCTAGGAAGCTTGCTGTGGAGTTTTTGGATACCTTGGGTTTAGGGCTTAGCATGTAGGACTGTAGTTCGAGCTTGCTGAGCGGAGTATGTTTGCAGGAGTGTGGGCACCAGATCTGCGATCCTTCCCGTGCGTCGCCTCCATTCTACAACACTTGCTGTGCGGAATTGAGCCAAGGTCGATCGCAAGAGCAGCAAAGCATGTCAAAATTGCCGAACGAGAAAACAACCACCTATTCTTTCATCCGTATTCGTTGTGAACACCTCTGTAACTACGTAGTACACTGATTACACGTACCATTTATTGCTGCACCACTGCTGACTCCTTTACCTCCAGCCGAGGGGCAGCATCACCTATCGTTGGCCTCTACCTACTCACACGGACGGTTCAGGGTTCAGAGCACACTCACGGCCTCGAGCATGCGGCAGGCATGTTCACTCGTGGCATGGTTCTGCAAGAACTGCACCTGGCAGACGGAGTCAGGGCAGTTTCGGCTTCAGGGTATGGGGGGGTCGCTTCGACTTTGAGCCTTTCCGAAGAAAAAGAAGATATGTAAATGTACACAGTTGAAAAGGTTTCATTTCGGCTCCAGGGTTTTCGGGCTTAGAATTGGTCTTCATGCCGTGGAACACAGCATAACACAGCTAGCTTTTACTGTGAAGCACCCGAGCCGGAAGCAAGAAACAACACCTGCTACGAAACATGCGTCAGACTGTATTGCAGCACCTTTTCCACCCTGAAGGATGTATTGCTTTGGGGCTTTATGGGTTTTCAGTCTCCCCACAGCCGAAACCTATCTACATGCCGAAGCGAGGGCTTTACATCCTCAACCTGAACAACTTCATCCTCATCCCTCTTCGGTAATGTGTGCAACAGAGCGTACCTACAAGCCTTCCAAACCTCTGTCCAAGAAAATGCAAAGTGATGCTATATGTTCAACACCTGAACAACCCATAACATGAGGTAAACCTCATTCAACCTCCCTAGCCATAACTCTAAGCTCTAAAATTACAAACCTCAAACCCTAACCCGAACCCATCGAAATTTCAAGCCGCTCTGGGTCTCCCGGCGCTGAACTGCACCAGCGGCGCCACGTCGAAACGCACGGAGACATCAAGGATGGCCTGTTCGATCTTAGGCTTATAAAGGGTACTATAAAGGTGGCGTTCAGAGTTCTATGAGGGATATCATAAGAGTGCTGCATGGTCGACGATGAAGGTTTCCATGCAGGTTTTTGGGGGCTTTTGGGGTTTGGGGTTCAAGGGTTTGCAATTTTGGGTTTAGGGGCTTAGGGGCTTCAGGCTTAGTCTTTGGAGAGCTTGGGGGTTTCTGAAAAGTTCGGGCTCTGGGACTCAGGTCTGGGAGGGTGAGGGTTTAGGGTGTAGGGTTTAGGGTTTAGGGTTTAGGGTTTAGGGTTTAGGGTTTAGGGCTCAGGACTCAAGGCCCACCGCAACTTCAACGAGCGAGTGCCTAATTCCCGAGACCCACGAACATATCTGTCGCAGAGCCACCTGCAACGGTCCGATCGCGACAATGAACATGACTGTTAGCGCAAAGCAACTTCCCAAAATAACATTGGGCCTAAACTAGCAGTAAATTGAGTCATTAAGGCTTTGGATAGAAAACTCTGGTAAAGGGGCCAACACGGTCTCCGCAGTGATCTCCGCAGTGCCCGTGTAGATGAGTTTCCTGGCATGTTGCACACAAATCCTTAACCATAACCATGAAATCATACCCGAAGCGCTGAACCCCGCTTAACCCAAGGCGGTTTTCACATCCAGGCTTTGCGACAGTTTGAAAACCACACCTTGGGAATGAGACACTGAAGCAGCTGCAGTACTGGGGGTCCGACTTGAAGGAGTCGGCCGCTGGTGAGCTTGCAAGTAGCTAAGTCCTGTGTTACCTTGCCTCGATGATGGCTCGAGACGACCCTAAACCCTAAACCCGAGACGACTACTGGCATGCCGCTCATACTTCTCGGCCCAGAATGCTGTTGGGATCTTCGTGAATGGAAGCTTACGTCTTGTTCGGCTTTTAGGTTTGGGCTATGGTTTAGGGGTTTAGGGTTTAGGGCATGTTTAATATCTTCTAGTGGTCTTTCTTTCATGGGAGGCCCCCCCAAAACACCAAACAAAGACTACGGGTATA